TGTGATGCAGCGGCACGTCTTCTAAGTGCAACGATATGATGTTGCATAAAAAAGGGTGTTAAAATGACGATTGAAAGCCAGCTGAAATCGGAATGTAATGGATTTTTCGTTTCGTTTCTTTGCTAAGTTCAGCCCATCTAAAACGTTTCGTACAAAATGGCGTTTTAAAATGCATTCGTATGGCCCAAAATGATGACATTTGTTTGAACATCAGGAATGCTAAGTATTTCGCCTTTTTTTGTCTCTCTAACTCATTGCAGCAAATATGAATTGGTTGTCGTCTACAAAAGTAAATTACTGTTGACCATTGGGCATAATTGAGAATCAAGTGAAAAATCAACAAACAGATTGTAGTGAATTTTGTTGCGCACTTGTGCCTTTTTGCCAATGTTCTCCTTTCAAAGAGAATGATTAATGAGCATGAGTATCTATCCACAATCGATTACAATAACAAAAAAATCGATCTAAAAAGCAACTCAGAAGATTATGATATTCTCGTTTATCATCAGCAGTTGATGCAGCACAAAAGCCGATGCTTTAGCTCAAAGCCATTTCAGCGAACTTGCAAAAATTCTTGTATGCCTTTTAAATGCATACGAAAAATTGTGTTTGTTTGGTCGATTTTTCGTTGAGTCTCCATGTATGTGACTTCAAAATAGATAAAATTCATGCTGAAAATCAATGAATCGCAAAATATATATGATCAACATTAGCGCAACCATACATATAGCGCAATAGCAAAAATTTATTATTATTTATGGGGTAATTTATATAAAATATTGCATTTCATTGCCTTAAAATCGTTGATTTAAAATAATGCACAGGCGCACACATACCATTCGATTCATTTTCATTTATTTATTGCATTTCAATGATACAAAATGGATTTTTTTTTTCTTCGCTCTTCCAATTTACTATTTTATGTACGACTGGCAAACGCAATTTTAAACATACACATACATTTGGTTCACATCGTTGATTTCGGAATGCGTCCTCGGTTAAGCATAAAATTGCAAACGAAAAAAAAAAAAGAATTCATGATAAATGCCATCAAATTGTTGCTCGGGTGAATTGTTTTTGGCTTAGAATGTGGTGCAACATTTTTTGTGGTTCCCATCCGAAAAACATTTTCGGGCTTGATGTGCCTATTGAAAATGTAAACATTGAATTTGGAAGCCACATAAATCTCACTAAACACATTCACATAGATGAAAATATGTATCGATTCAATTGGTACGTTTGTCAAGGGTGTAAGAGATTGAATGAATTATGATGCAAGAGCAAATATCGAACCCAATACCTTTATCGTTTGTCTTCAATTCAAATCAATTGACCGATGATTATCCTCAAGCGTAAATACTGACCCAATGCACATGCTGATTTTCACATTCTGATGCAAATACACACGAGGTAATTAACGAGGCAATTTGACAGCCGCTCGTTTCCCTCGCTCTCCTTCTCCCTTTCTTTCTACCAATTCAACTCTATACCTCTCTCTCTGTGTCTCTGTCTCTCTGGTTGGCATGCGAAAATTTGACATTGAATCCAGCGTTCGACATTACGGAATCTTGAATATATGTGGTATATGAAATGTGTTTCGCATACAATCTCTCATATATTACGCAGTTTGTATTTGTTCGCTTAGTTGAACATGTGCGGTTATTTGTACATACCATTTTTGGGGTTTGAGTTTGCACATCAAAGAACACCTAATGCACACAAACATTTATGTGCCCATCAATTCTTTCAATTTGGCTTTTTCAGCCTAGTACAAATGTGCAACGATAATAGATTTTTCAGTGGTTGATACAATGAATCAAAAATTGAGATGTTTTTTTTGCGTCACTGATTTCAAATGGTATAAATCGTAAGTCATTTCGATTTGGTATGCATTACGAATGGTCAATTAGAATTCTTTGCGTTGGAAAATTTTCCGAATTTTTGAACCGTTTAATTCATTTGGATCCGTTCTCTGTATCTCACTCGGTTTGATTTATTCGAATGGGTAAAAATGGTATGTGTGCACATTTCAAGCATAGATAATTCTTTTGTGTAAAACTTTCGGGAATTCAATTTTGATGAAACTGGTTTGATATCGCGCTCAGAATCCAACAACTGTGTCACATTTTGTGACAACAAAATTTTAATTTTAAATGAATGGCAACAATTTTCAGAAACGAAATAACGACGAATTTGAATGTGTAAGTTTTATGTCTCTTGCCATCGAAATGTTGTATGCTTTTCAGATTACCATCGTCAGTTGTGTGCAGTTACATCCCCATCGACACACTACTTCACTGTTACAACATCAGCGAAATAACATTTTCATTATGTCTTTCGTTCGTTTGTTCGTTCAGTATTTGTCAGCCAACTAAAGCCATTGAACAAACACAAAATCGTAAATTAGCTGAACGTTTTAAATTCAATTCAAGTTCTGAAGATGCTTTAGCTGTAGCTAGTCCTTGTTTATACATACTTGGTGTGCGCAAACAATTAGAAAACTTTCGATTTTCTTTAAAAATCGTATTTCACAAACAAAATCAATGCAGGCAAATACTGAACGTAAAATAGAAACAAGCGGCAACGAGCGATAGGAATGGAGAGATGGAGAAAGAGAAAGTGAAAGAGCTTAAAAAAATTCGGTGGCACAACTATTTCTTCCACAAATTGAAAACGGATTCATGTCATACGAAAACAATTAAGCTCATTCCGAAATGTTCCTAATTAATGTTTCGTTTATGCTAAGTAAAAGCGCTTTGTGCAAAGTTTTGAAATATGTGAGTGAAATTCCTCTCGAAAAGTTGGAAAATTTGCACGCGCAACTGACAACAGAATTTTTTTTTTTTTTTTTTCATTTTATCTCTATGTAATACAGATTCTGTGTATCCCTGTGCAAATTTACGTAAAATACTTTGTTTCAGTGAATATTGATGCCATAAATTCAATTTGAAACCAAACAACAACACCATTGCGCCCAATTTGACTACATAAATATTAAATCGGCTCTCATAAAATCATTTTCACTACATTTATTTCAATTCAATTTCCGCTGCAATCAATTTACTACATACCAATTATTCGGATCTTTATTTTCGGAACGAAATTTATGTTATGGTTTGATCACTGCAACGGCATTAATGAAACACATTCACTTTGCCCCTCTCTTGCACGCGTACACACACTTCTCGTGAAATCCAATGGCTGATGCTTGGTCAGATAACTGACATTGATGGATGCATTAAACCAATCGAATTCACCGAATTGCTGATGATAAAAAAAAACGTGTAAGTTCATTACTCACCGAAAACAGACAAATAGTTTCGATTTAAACTCGAACAAGCCATCGTTACAGTGATGGATTTCAGCGAAATATCCTGAGAGCGGTTTTATTGGTTTTCGAACACGTTTCGGCATACCAAATGAAAACTGATTTATTTTAAATTGGTCATACCATATGCGGGGTAAATGTTTCGGCTTCAACGTGGACTAATTTCAGGGAAGGTAATTCGAAATTCGCATGATAAAAATTAACACGAAATCAAAAAAAAAAAAATATTTTTGTATATTTTTTTTGTATGAAAAAGTTTTTGGTTCAAAAGTTTGTTGAAGAGTTTTTGAAACTACAAATTCAATGGGAACCGTGTCTTTAAAAATAAAATCTTCAAATGAAATCCATTTTTGATACATAATCCGTTCATAGAAAATTCATCGAGATAGAAATGTGGTATCGAATTAAGCGGCCAAAGAACATCCAAAGAATAATAATTTTTGAAGCGATGATTCAAAGTGAAAAGGTTCATTTTGTTATAATTGAATTGGTTCACGTTTTCACTCGAAACCATAAACAGCGTCTATGGTGATGAAGTAAAGGGTTCGTAGTTAGTTGGATTTTTGTTTGAATATTAAATGCAATCTTCGCGTATACTGTTTATTTTAATTGTGGAATATGCTGTTTTTTTCTTCTTTTCAATATTCTTGTATGTGTGTGTGTGTGCGTGTATATAAATTTCAACAAGCACGTAAACAAAGTTTTCGTCCGATTCGATTTCTCATGTTGTTGTGTTTCATTATGGAATAAATTATTGTACACAAAAGCCACAATGAAGTTCGCAAGAGGTGCACGTTATCTCAAAAACTTTCAACTACTGAAATTGAGTGTAGCTTAAGCTTTAGCCGAGAACTAAAGTTTAAGACAAAAATAACGTCAAATGCACCTGTATGTTTTCCAACCACGATGACTCTACCGATGCTGGTGTGTGTGTGTGTGTGGTAGCAAATTTTCATTAGTCGTATCCACTGGCACTTTGAATTCGGCCCAGGATTTTTGGATAATAAACAACGCAAATAGTTTATTTATGCACGGAATGAAATGTATGTGCTGGAGGAATCGAAACTGAAAATGAATTACGGTGTTAGCATTAAATTTCAGAGGTTATCGCCCATAAATAAAATGCATACACTATATACAGTATATGTGCTTTTTGACAAAGAGTTTTAGCTTTTATTTACATTTATTTGCTTTAGTTTCAGTTTGAATCCGATAACCAGGCACCGAAATGAGCAAAACCACTCGCCACACATAATGAAAACAGCATTACAGAGAGATAGAGAGAAAGAGATATACTGAATATTTCGATTTTGTGGGATATCCACTGCAGTAGTTTTACAGTTGATATTTCCATTCAATGGTCAAAAGTTTTTTTTCTACAATGTATCGGGACCCGATTGTTTGGATATGGTTTTATTGTTTGCTTCTCGTAAATTATTTGTCTATGCTTTCAATGTTTAATCAACACCTTTTAACATTTGTTTGTTGGTATTAAAATAATGAACTGGATAGTTACCAAAATATCAACACATCAAATCTTTAAAAAAAACAGGCAATTTACGATTTTCGTACTTATTTTATTCACATGATTTTTTCTCATTTTTCTATAAATAAAAGAAACTAAAAAGTTTATACAAAATACATTATATTAATAAATTTGTATCGCACCTTATTGACTTGAAACAAATTTTGTTTTATTTCAAATTTATTAATATTTGATCGACTTTGTGGTTGAAGAAATGTTTATCGTTTTTCACAAATTAAATTTAAAGAGATTGATTTGGCTCATTTGGTTGATTCGTTATGACGTCGACAGTTGCTGTATCAGTTTGTACAATTAAAGTGCTATAATCATTCCAAATGGCGTCATACGGTGGTGGATCATCTCGGACTGATTGCTTGTCAAATTTAAGCAACATTTTTTCAGCAATTTCGTTAAGTTTTTGAGTGCATTTTTCCAAACACAACAATGGACGTTCAATATATGAATTGGATAGAATTGGTTGGAAAGTGTTTGTTTCATCATTTTCAACATCGTCATGTGGATTCAGTGCACGTTCTGTTTCTTTCATGTTTTTGTACAATGAGTTCATTACGGATGCCACAAACCATTCTAAAACTACAATCATAAAAAGAAATTTATCGCATTGAGTGAGTTTTCATCGTTGATACACTGTAAAATTAATACCTTCGGATTTTTTTATAACGAATCCAAAAGGATTTTTTTGTAATCACGGATATTTGGAAAAATCCCCAGTTAGAATATTATAATAATATTTGAAATAATTTGTTTAAATTCATTTCATTAGTTGTCATCGATTTCACGGAGCAAAACAGTTGAATGAGTGCTGTTGAATGAGGTACATACATACAAACATCACATGTATACGCAAAAACTACAGAGCAAAACATGCTGAGTAAAAAGACCAATGTATTCGCACACTACATAGCTTTGTCTCTGTTATACGCGCTTATTGCTTAAAGCGTACATGTGATGCTTGTGTATATATTGCTTCTCTCGCACAGTAGCTACTAACCTTTGCACTGTATATTCCTCTGTGACATCGATGATAATTAATGAAACTAACTGGAGCAAATTATTTCAGTTATTGTTTGGTTACTGGTTTTTTTCTTCAAATATTCGGAATTATAATCGAATCCTTTTGGATTTTTAATAAAAAAAAAATAATAAAAAAAAATAATTTTTTTGAACAAACCTGTGATCAACATCAATACAATCGAGCAATATAAAAAAAAATCTGTATTCCTAGGAAAGTCGTTAGTTAGAAAACCATCAAGTGCCATCAGACTAAAGGTAATGAACAGCATCGCACTAATCGCAACCAAAAATTTTGTCCATACAAGTGACATGTACATGAATGTGGGTTCAACCTGTTAGGTCAGAGACAAAGAGAAAAAAGCTTGTGAATAGTGTTAAATCTTTGTTCAATTTGATTTTTTTTACTTACACCCAAAACACCGTAAAGCCATGGCACACTGAGAATTAAGGTTATCGCTAGAAAAGAACCATAACCAATTAAAATTGAGAACAATCGTCGAACATATGTTTTTTAATAAAAAAAAAACTCACACAACACAATAGCTAGAAGATTACAACCGAATTTCATCACAAAGATCGGCATAAACAAATACCAATATCCAATTATCAATCCAGCATGTTCCAAGCTTAGACCACAGCAAGAAGTGAGTTTTGTAAATGCCATTGTCAATGAACTAGACTAAATGATACACTTTTGAAATATATATTTATTTTCACTATCAGAATTTATTAATATTTTCAATCTAAACACATCAATAAATGTTGAGATCAAAAAGCAAATGAAAAAACAACCGTCTCACTTGGAAATAATTTATAAAATGAAATGCGCATCTCACATTCGCCAAAATCTACATTTTTAAATCTGAATTTTGAATTCTGGGAACTTGACGTATATGACCCGAATAAGTTTACATTTGTATAATTAAACACACACACAAATCAAATGCGGCAACTTTTTCTATACATGCGGGAATAACACAGCTGACATCATCAATCGCTTTATGCCAATACATATGTGAAAAAAAAACAAAATTAACTCTTTCGTTATCAATACATTGATGCTATCTGTGTATATACATGTTATTAGTATCATCTCTTTATGTTGATGTGTGACACATTTGTATTATGTAGAGATTTTTAGTGAATACAAAAAATGAGCAAAACATACCGGACAATTTCGCTAATTTTAATTTTACTGAAACGAATTTGAGTGAACACTTGAACAAAACTGCTTTATGTATGTTATATAGTACATTGTGTACGTGTTTTTGTTTTCTTTCGGCAGAAACAAAAATAAAAGCACGCGCATCTCACATTTCATCTATCAGTGATTTATTTTTTGTTTTTGCTTTTTGCGATTATCAAAAATCATTAGTTCAATAAAAATGATAGATAGCACCGTACTGTTGAAATAAAAGTTATAAGAATGATTCATCATTTGTCGTAACACTGATTTCTAGAGAAGTTTGTTCAAAATTTCATCGAAAAAATAAAGTTGATCAAAATGGTTTTTCCATCATCACATCTCCATCACAATATTCGAGGTTGGAACTTCGTACTTTGTTCTCTTCAAAAAAGAATTTGTGCTTGATAAAAAGGAATAAACGTAAAATTTTGTAAAAAAACATAAGAATGTTGTTTATCTCTAAAAGATTTCAAGCAATTTAATAGTTCAAAATGTCTAGTAAAACAATCTTCAATATATAATATTTTAATCCGTTTCGGAAGATAATTCTAACACTTTAAAATGCTTCGTTCTTTGCAATGTGCGCAGACGAAAGCGAAATCATCTGGCATATAATGGCAATTATTCAAAAGAATTTCTGTCTTTTTGTTCACAGTTTGTGCATTGCTACTTACAATTTGTAATGCACGAAGCTTAGTACAAAAAGGGTGTTACCAACATGTATCTCGTCATTACATTAAACACTAAATTCGTTGGTATAGTTGTAATGCCTCGCGATAGGCAAAGCAAATGCGATAAATTAAATGGCAATACGATCAAAAATCGTGAATATGCAATCTGTGCATAGTTTTGTTTATATATTTTGCACGACCTCGCGCTTCATGCAATAACCCATCGCTTACAAGCGTAATATCGATTGTTTTGCTTTTTAGTTTCGTTGCATTCTCCCTTTCAATCGAATTGTGCGCTTGTTTGATATTATTCAAATGAATTTCGATGGTTTCGCTTTTTAAGTGAAATTTGTTTGTTTTATTTGTTTGCCATGAAAAATTAAGCAGAAAATCTTCATTCATGCATAACAATCACATTACAGCTTCTTAATTCAGCAACAAAATGTTACACAATGGTTTTTTTCACTTCTTAAAATCAACACATCACCAAACACATGTGGCGTAAAGAATTTCGCAAAGAAAAATAAGCGCAATTTCAAATAAAAAATATAAAGTCGATTCCGAAAAAAGAATTCAATATATTGAGTTCAAAATACACGATTATGTGCTGCTGAGAAGCAGAATAGAAAAAGAAGAATTCATGGTTTCTGGAATGCATATCAACATTTCTATCTGCAAAACAGGCTTAATGTCTTTCAATACAATATAATTTCAGTTTTATTTTTGCTCTTCTTCTTCTTCTTTGCTATTTCACAGCGGAGACAACGTAATCGCCATTTTTATCATTGAGGTCAATAGAAATTAAAATGAAGTGCATTGTTATTCGTGTTTTCTTAACAATAAATATCCTTTGGTTTTATTTTCATTTTTGTTTTGTTTTGTTTTGAGCTCTTCTTAGTATGTAGTATACGGAAATTACATGCCGAAGTGTATATGATGGTACGCAGAATGAGACCTTGGTTAACCGCTAAACAATTCTTGTGTGTATTCAAATTACGAAATATCATTGATTTCATTTTGAAGATTATGACGGTCCGAGCACGAATTACTCGCTTCAGGTCTTTTGTTTTCGCATTTATGGCATTTGTAATACGATGTAAGACCATGTAAGCCAGCTGCTCATGGTCAATAACAATATAAATGTGTACAGCAAAGACAAGGTTCCTTAAGAATATTCTCGGTTGGCAAATTTGGCTGGCGGCGCAGCTAATATAATTCACGATGTAATGATATCCAAACATTAGGCTACGATGAGTTTCAAAATTACTCACAATTAAAATCTAAATGGAAACTGAAACACTTCTGTTTTTATGTGTGAGCGACCAGCTCAAGATCGAGTGCGAATTGTCGATGATAGAGAGGGAGGGGAAGAGAGAGAGGAAAAAGGAATGAGAGAAAAATAGAATCTCGGTCGGCACTGTATTGCCAACGGGGTTCAAACTTATTAACCTTTTCGTTGTAAACGTGGGCCAAACTTACATTCACCGTGAAGTGTCATACAATAAAATTTATCTCGTTTGACTAAAGTTTGGTGTAGCACATATATAAGCACAACGCTACATGCATATGGAATTAAAGAGGAAATCAATCCGATCTTGATTCCATTAACATTTGCTCTCCTCAAAGTCATTATCATAAATCTATTTTTAAAAAAGCCAACGAAACGTGTGAGAGACTATTTTCGAATACTTTTACATTCGGAAACTATTCATTTTGCATGTTTCTTTGGCTGGTTTACAGTTCAATGTTCGAAACGTTGAAAAATTGCTCCAGTTCCATTCAAAAAAACCACGTTGAACACATAGCTCACATCACCGATGCGAATGTAGCAATTGCATAGACAAAGAAATCACCGAAGTGCTGCAATAATTTACCACCCAATTGGTGAAGTCATTGATTTTAATTAGAGATTTCAAGCAATTTTAAGGTGCAAAAAAAAAACGTACGATCTTTTGTTGTCTCTCCGCACATTAAATGTGCACTTCAAATGAAACCGTTTTAACTCTCATTACATTCAGTTTTCACACTATTCTCTTGTCGATGCCAAAATGCAAAACTTCACCCATTCTATTGGTGAATGCACGACGAACCGTATTTTATGGCAACAGAATTAACGAAAAAGGTGTGCTCAAATCGTGCATAGATTAATCTTGCAAGTGCACCACCACTACCACTAGATTTTTATACGTTTTGCAGCGGACGTATTAAATAATGACAAAAAAAATACCTCTTTCTCGAATCTTTACAGTTTCACTGTTTCTGCCTTGATTTGCCACAATGAAAAAAAAACGTAGTCAATGATTTTTGTCTGCGGTATAATGAGAACGAGATGACGATGGTGAAAGTAAACAAGAGGAATTCGTTTCATTTTCAAGAGTCTTCGAACATTCTTTGCAAACAAGTCATCACATCTCCAAACTTTTTTTTTCTTTTTCTTTCACAATTAGTGCGACCGATTTTCAAAAAAAAAACTATCATGCATGTTTCATCATTAAACATCATCACGGATTTCGTGGTTTTAAATAAGGATTCGAAATAGCATAATGCCACGAAAAAAGGATGCATATTTTTTTGTTCTCACATCAAACGCCGCTGTCAAGCTTCACCGACTTCAAAAAAACCATAATTTTAATCTTACATTTACCCTCCGAGGTTTTATGTTTATGCCAGTCATATGCAATTTTTTTCTCTGCACAAAAACACACACGAAAATGGAAAGCATCTACTTAGTAAAATTAAAGCCGAAAAACATGATGTAGGAAATCTTTTGTGCATTTCCCCCACGTTCTCTTTCGATTTTCCCTTTTCGGAGTAAGAAAAAAGAATATGTAGAAAGCATCGCATTTGCTGAATGTCATTTTATTTATATTTTTTTAGCAAAAACCAAATCCATGCACTTCAACCAGATTTTCACTCCGCAAACTAACAAGAGAAAAAGTTAAATAAAGTGGCACTTTTCAGGTCATCAGCCAACAAGAATGATTGTCCCTTGCATATGAACTGGAAGATGGTGCTTTGAAACTATCTCAAAAAAGTTTCCACCAGAGGAAAAAAGTTTGCTTTCAAAAGACAAAGTCTTTGTAATATGCAAGTTTTGTAATTAGTATACTGCATCCAGATTAAGCTGCTTTTCATTTGTAGACACAGAAATTGTGATGTTGTCAGATATTTATGTCTTGGATTTTCTATCAAATTTAACGAATCTTAGTGTTTCCATAGGTAAACGTACAAATGGTTTATTTGATGATGGATTATCAATGTACGCAAAACAAAAGAGGTTATTATTCATCTAGTTAATGAGAGAGAAAAAACGTATTTTGCTTTGGGGGAGTCATAAAGGTAAGGTTTCGAGGTAGAAAGAAAAAAACTACCTCATCGCGTATTTTTTCCATACAAAATGCACTACAGGTCAATCTGACCCAGACACACGGGATCAATTTGTAAACACAACACACGGGTCTAGGGTTAATGGTTCTAATGGTTGGTTTTAATGTTTTAATTCAATCTCTATTGAGCATTATCGAAATATTTTATTACTTTACAATTCATTTATGCTGTTCACTTTGTATTCGTCAAAGAACCAGTCACATACATTCATCAAGAACTGCATAAATCAGCGAATCAAAATGATCAGTTACATGGCCTGGAAATGCCTATGTAATTTACATATAAACGAGTGAGACTCAAACATGTTCTTCTTTTTCCATCAAATATACCAGTGGCGCCACCAATTTTTCATATAAACGCATACAAAGTCTTCAATATGGCTGCGCCCACGAGAGAGAAAATTTCGTCTCATTCATTTCCGCCCCATGATCAGTTAAATTAAAAAGTAATTCATTGTGTATTTTGGAATTTGAAATTATTTCCGTGGTAACATATAAATAATTTGTGCATCTTGAAAAAAAAAAGTTTGAGAGAATTGTTTAAACTCAGGAAAAAAAATGAGCACCATTTCAATTACCAATGTCAATATTATAGTGCAATCAAAATAACATGAGCATAGGAATATTCAAATATTATAACACTGATGTGCTGAAACATTACTGTTCATTTGAAGATTTGTTATAAATCATAAATAATTGTAGCACTAACATTGTTTTAAAATGTATTGCATGTTATAAAATTTACTTTGTTCATCCTTGAAAATATATTATACATCTCTTGTGTGTAGCAAATTAGTATCTCATTTGAATAAGAAACAAATCTAACCATATAAGGAAGTAAATTTGTTTTAGATTTATAGACAAACATCGTCTCGAAATATTGTATCAAGAAATGTGGAATAGAATCCATGGAAAAAGTACAATATAATTGATCAACCGTTGAAATTGATATGAGAATCAAAACTAAAACATGCACAAACCACCTAATGTTCATCTGGGGAATTTTCACAAAAATATTGCGTATCGGGTGTGGCACACTATCATGGACGGGGAGATGTTTTCGCGCAATGCATGTCTATGCTTTGTGGTCTCATATTCACCGAAATGACTGAAGAATGACAAGAGCACATATATATATATGAAGCGTATTACATGTTCTCGGACATTCACATGTGCAACACAATATATATTCAATTGTGGTAATTTTGGTGACAAACACCCGCGAACGGCATTATTAAAGATAACACAAATGTAAAACTATCTTTTTAATTTGCACATATTGCGCACCTTAGGGGCTGTGTACACACGCCGAATTGTGAGATCATATTCCCACATTTGTGTTTCGCGTTAATTTGAGTGAAACATTTTCATTAGTTAAAATGCCATTTTTAAATTTCTACGGGAAAATAAGTCGTCATATCGTACCGATTATTTGTTAACCACTCACACCACGTGTCTGTTCATGCAAAACATTCTATAGGAATAGTGGATAAGGTATATTCACACCATTTTTAATTGATTTGCCTTTTATTGCTTCGAGGAGAATGCTTCAATACGAATGAAGTCAATTCTTTTGCAAAATGGTTCTTCAAGAAGCACGGACATTTTGAAAAATGTTAAAACACATAAAAAAAATTAATGATAAAAAATCTTTAAAAAAAACCAAGGAACTTGAAGAACCCCCTGGCAGATTCTATTACTATTTAGAATGATGAGTTAATAAACATATATTTTCAATACGAAAGCGTATTTTTGTAACGTAAATGTACTATTGACACACATTAAACATGTTCGTGCTTGGAAAATTGCTGTTTCCATTTGCACGCGTTTTTGCATACTTTTGGGACTTGACTATCACAATGTTTGTATTATATCAAACCAGTGCCGTAGTCACACGCAGTCACCGCTTTTCGTGTATTTATTTGAAGCAAGAAAACAATTTTCATTCCTGTGAAATGGTAGCTCGGTATATTCTGTCCGTATTACGGTACTGATTAAAATAATTATAGTAACACATGTTGTTACCAATGCTATTTGCCTCTTATTATTTTTAATCAAGTTAAAATAGTTGATATCACTATAAATGCGTTCACATTCTATGAAAATGTGGCATTTTCCTATTGACTGTTGACCAGTGCTCATTTGTATGTGGAAAATATTTCGCCAAAAAACTTGCCACATTCATTTGACAAAGTTTCATTGAAGAGTTATAATAGTTTCATTGAGCTTACAAAATGAGCTATAACAAGTGAAAGTGAAAGTGTACTGAACCCCCAAAGGAATTTTTAAAGTTCGCGTAGTGAATCAAAATAAAATTGTTAAAATGAGTATTCGAAAACAAAGTTGGTAAGTTGTTATTATAATGAGAAAATATTCAAAACGAAAGTTCTAAAATCAATGATTGAAATACATCAGCAGAAAAAAATGAAAATTAATCAAAATAAAGCTTTTTATGTAAATAATAGACAATCGATTAAATATCATAAAAAGTCATTTAGTGATAAAATTGAATATATTAATTAAGGGGTAAAAATGAATTGGCCGTGCCTGATGATAAAGCAGATGCACAATCGGTAGCTGCTAGTGAAGAGCCAGAAATGGATTTTCGACGAAAAATCAAATATGGAAGTCGAATTCAAGTATGATAATTGCTTGAGAAATTATGAAATAGAATAGTAATTTGTGTGCGATTTTTAGGCTGCTTGGGCTGTGCTTTGTGAATTTTTTTCCGAATCAAGTGTCCATGGCGTTAGATATTTTTCGGACAGCAAACGTCATTGGACGGAACGGTAAGTTCAATCATACCATGTCTATTATGGAGAACTCATGCGTTGGAAATGTATTTCAAATGATTTAAATTGAATCTATTCAATCAAATAGAATTTGGTGGGTGTTTGCATTTGCAGTGTCGCTTTATCTTTGCGGCTTTTTAATTCATAATGTTTGGATCAAATGGCATGAAAGTCCGGTTATTGTGAGTTTTGCGGAAAAATCAACGCCCATTTCAATGATTCCGTTTCCAGGTAATGTTTGGAATTAAAAGAAAACTATATGTTCGATATTATAAAATGATATATAATTTGAATAAAACATGACAACAATGGAGATTCAATAGCACCCGGATATAAATTCATAAGGTTGTCGTTTATGTGCTTATACAAAGATTCATAAGCTTCAAGTTTAGCCGGTGCTCTCACTGACTTTAAAAGACGCACATTTTCTTCCATAGATAAAGTATTGTGTGGACGAGACATTACACCAATATTTTGAAATGGCTAAAAATGGATTTTCTACGCATTTTGTGTTTTACACAAAGCAACGGCCTTTTTTTTGGCCTTATTAATGCGAGGATTACACTGTATACTATACCCGCTAAGCAAAAAGTTGCTCGCTCGATAACTCTTTCTTGAAATAACTTAATACTTTCTTAAAATATTTTTAACTTTAACTCTTTCTTATAATAATAAAGCCGTAACCATTTGCCCTGAAACTAAAACCTACATGGACAAATTAAACATAACCGATGCGTTCCATACGTTGCTTGCCAATAACAAAGACAATATGACTGAGGAAGAGTAAGTACGCGTAAAATCTGTATATATAAAATAAATTGCATTTCAACAATCGTAGACTATACCGATCGAAAGCTGTATTTCAACTTTGTGAAGCACATTTGGCGGAGAATTTTGTATTGGGTCAAAATTTTTCGACAAACGAAATTTATGAGACAATCAAAGATGTTGCACCCAACTTTAATGATACGATGTTTTACTGTAAATGGCGTAATAACTTTATATCTTGCGAGAATAGCTTTCAACCGGTTTTGACTGAGGAAGGTGTTTGCTATACATTTAACTCTCTCAATTCAAGAGACATTTACACTGATGAGTATGTGGTAGTCTTTTTTGAATTTCGGATCCAACACATTCTAATTATAATGTTTCGAATCTGTTTGAAAGAATGGCCGATGAAATGAAGATTGTCACGGGAAATCCAAGTACAACACACTGGAGCTTGGAGGATGGCTACATTGACATCGAAGGGAATTATAGTAATACATATCCATGTAGGAAATTACATTTACCATTTTATTTAAGATTCAAACCGGGTACTTTCTTTAAATTTGTGTTATGATTTCTTTCGAAAACAAAAAAAGATCGAGTATTCGGAGCTGGGGCTAGAGTAGGTCTGTATACTCTGCTTCGTCTGTATAAACAAAACTTGGAATATCTGTGCCGCGGACCAGTACAAGGATTCAAAATTCTATTGCATACGCCAGGAGAGGTGAGAGTGATAACTTTAAAAAGGTTACATTTATGGTTTTATATTTCAAATCGTTTCACTACTAGGTACCACAAGTATCAAAACATTATTTCCGTGTGCCACTAGTGCAAGAAGTGTTGGTATCCGTTAAACCACAAATGATCACAACTTCGGAGGGTTTACGTGATTACACGCCAAATGGACGACAATGCTACTTCAACAAGGAACGACAATTACGATTCTTTAAAGTTTATACGCAGCGAAATTGTGAATCTCTAAATCATTTTATTTGTTTAATTTAAACATTTTTTTTTATTTATAAATTTACTTTCTTTAGGTGAATTGGAATGTTTGTCAAATTTCACAAAGCTTGAATGTGGATGTGTCAAATTCTCGATGCCAAGTAATGATTTCCGAAATAAATCCGACAATTTCAATATAATTTTCAATATTTATTCGCAGGAGACAGAGACACGTCAATTTGTGGCTTTGATAAAATAAAATGTTTCAACGACGCCGAAGACAAGTTGCTTGAACGCCAATTTGAAGATGGTTTGAAAAATGAGAGAAACGCTGCAACCGGTTGTAATTGTCTGCCCGCTTGCACATCGATTACTTATGATGCCGAAATCTCACAAGCAAAATTCGATTGGGTTGGTTTATTCCAAGCATTTAACAGTTCACTGGACGAATTTCCCGGGTATGTTTGATCATATTGTCATTGAAGAAATTTTGTGTTACTTAATTTGTGTCATTTACTTTCAGAGCGGAGTTGGCTCGTTTGTCGATCTTCTTCAAAGAACATCAATTTATAACGTCAAAACGATCCGAATTATATGGTTTAACCGACTTTATGGCCAATTGTGGTGGTTTGTTGGGTCTCTTCATGGGCGTATCAATGTTGTCGATCGTGGAGGTGATCTATTACTTTACACTTCGCTTGGGTTGTACGCTTCGACTCCGACGAACACGCAAACGCAAGAGTTTACGAGCGCAGGGGAAAAAGAACACAATCGCACCAGTTGAGTCAAATATACCGAACATTATGATCGTAACAGCGGCAGACGAAAAAAAGGAATAAGGAACCAACAAACCAATTCATTAACTAAACGGTTATCGAAGTATAAACAGCTTGTGTCGTTCTCTATCTCGTCTAAAATTATTCGTTGCATTTTATTCACTTCGAAATTAAATGACTGATGCTTATTTATTCGTATTTAATCTTATTGCACATTGTAAAATATATCCAGTTTTTTCATTGAATGTATCAAAATAAATCAGACAATGCAATGTCAAAGAATGATTTAAATTAATATCTTTATTTTATTATACTTGTTCGTGAAAAAAATAATGTAATATGTTCAACATTCAGCAGACAACCACACTTCAAGGAAATCGTGTACCGTTCACAGCAGAATCTTGTTTAATGCACGAATTCATTCATCGATACCATGTAAAATAACGAAAACAAACGAATTTAAAGTTGAATTGGCCAACTCAAATAAAAATACACAACCAAATTGACCAACACTGTCCTTGTGCCATCGTCGTTGTCGACTTTTTTGAACTCAACATAATTTGCTACAAAATAATCTGCAATTCAGTGCAGTTCCGTTTCATATGTTTTTTTTTTCTTATTTGTTATTTTTTTTTGGCAAAATTCCATCAGCGAACAGCAATAAAAAAGCGATTTCAACAGTGAACAAATGCTCTGATAAATAAAAGTCAAATAAAAAAAGTATAAATCTTTTTCTCTCTTCCACTCTAGAATTAAGTTGCTGCATTTGTGATAATCAAATCTGTGTGCTGTAACAATTACCATGTTATATTCAGCTGCAATTTGCATCCAATACAGGGTATGACAATAAATTTACATGTTTTCTTCGCGTGTATTTTTTATCATTCGTTTTTGGTGCATTTAAATTCATTGCGGATGCAAAACGAGCGTAAAAAAGTGTGCAGTTTAAGTGAATTAAATGCTGTGTTCATTCAATCATTGTTTTATTGCGAGTGCCGAGAAAGTATTCGATTGCCTTTCGCAAGACCTTTGGGTGAAATTTAATTAAATGCCAATTTTATTCAAGATGATGAAAAAAAATTAAATTTTTTATAACAGTATTTGGCGCTTGCAATGACGTATAAAATGTTCGTATGCGCCAAAACCAGAACAAAAAAACACACACACACAACAAATATCAACTGATTTGTTCGAACAAGACTTAATGCCTAAATGGAGATGATAGCGGACATAAAATTGTTCTGTAGATAATCAATATCATTGTGGTAAATATTTGATCCGAATCATGAGCGGACAACACGAAACAAAACCGGTTTATGACCCAGACACACCAAAATGCATCGCTTTATTTTCGTTCCAATTTTGCGATTTTTGTTAAACGATTTTAGATAGTGGGTTTTGGGAAATGTCAACGATTCATGTTGTTTTTTTTCGTGCAAAAAATGAGCAGAAATAAGACCGTTACTCGATATGCATCTCGGAATAGTTCTTATGCACTTTTTTTTTTTGAATGGATTAAGTTCTGTTTTCATAACGGATGATATTTTCATTTCGAATGAGTTTGATGTTGGCTGCAAGCGAAACTGAGTGCATTTTCATGACAATTTAATTAGGTTTCGAAGCTTTGAGGCGAAAAATCTAGATTATGAGATAGATTCATCATCTCAATGTCAATAGTGTGCGCGGCCAAAATGAATAGCATTTCTCTTGTTGTGCTGTGCAGGCGCTACTCCAAATAAGAGGAAAAGGAAGCGTATATTTGGATTTGATGATTCGACGGATCACCAAGGATGGAATGGCACGATGATGAATGCCCGCAAGAAATATTGTAAAAGAAAAAAAACCGTAAAGAATAATCGGATCGATGTGAACGATAATCGTGTTTCACTTGCAAATCCATCTATGGTATGTCGTATACTTGTTGTATCATTCTACTTTTTCGCTTCTTACACCAGCATAAAACGTTGTCGGCACATTGTACTTTCTTTGTTTGGTTGTTTGTTGTGCACTTCTTTGCTATTGATTTCGCGTGAATTGTATTGCATTAGAAATTTTGTTGAAATGTTTTGGCTGTGTGTGTGTGATGTGTGGTTCTGTTCCCATTGTATTCCATTTAAGCAGGCGAGTCAATGTGTTCCTTTTTGAGATGTCTCTATTTGGTTCTGTGAGAATTTCTACATGGCTTATCGATATACACATTAAGAGAAAATTCATTGCAATTTTACATCGAAATAAGTGGATTTATGTGTGCTGTTTGTATTCACATCCGCAGCGGTAAGAGCGAAGAAGATAGAGGGAGAGAGAAAATGAAAGAAAAAAAATGAGATTCAGTTGTGCCCATGAATTTATTCATGTATATTTTGAGTAAATTAGAACTCCCACGACGCCCTTAACATAATTGCATGATTTTGATGATATGTGTATTCGGAAAGCGCACGAGCTTATGCAAACATTTTGACTACAATAAAAGCCTTTTTATACCGCACAGCCAAAATAGAACGCGACATAAAAAGTAATAATAATGCTGTAATGCAAACAAACAAAGACATCGCGCGTTATTCGAATGAAAATCGCATTTGTTCGAAGTCGCACAACGAAAAGAACATTGAAATTTTTAATGCGTTTTGCAATCCGTTCCGTCGTCGACGTCAACACACGCTCACACTCAAACACAATTGCGAAATGTTAAGACGACGGTTATGCAAAGTTAACCGGCTGCGATTATTTGTATTTTAGGAGATCAGTGTCATGAAGTGTGCATTTTTTTCGGTATTAAAAACCATCAACTTCCATTCTAATTTGACTGAATTTTAATTAGAATTGACATAGTATCAGTAAGTCGGTAAATACACATAAGTCCAAGCTGTCTGACGAATTTTATTTCTCTTTATTTCTCTTCCATTTCCATACACACACACACGAAAGAAAAACGGATCGTTTCAATCTCATTTCCCATTTGAAACAATGTATCTAATATGCGCTCAATCAACATTCCAAGCACTTAATGCAATTTTATGTGCGCGTGCTTAACGTTTTTTTTGTTGTTGTGTATACTGCACTTAAATCACAATTATATCGTTCAAGAGTCAATGCACAGTGCGTTGTGATTGAAATGGGCCGTTGTCAGAAAATCCTTTTTGTTCTCGTTTTTTTTTGGCTCATATTCGTCATTTTTGTCGAAACAGCAACTCTTTACAAATCGGCATTTTTGATCATGGTTTATTCTCCGGTGCCCTCCGAATTCGTTATGCTTTTTTCCCTGGTGCACAGTTTGGTGTGCAGCATATTTTATTGTTGTTGCAACCAGCATTATTATTTAATATTGTTATGCATCTCTTTCGGTTTTTGTTTTGTGATCGCGTTTCGTCAAAATTACAAGTCGTTGTAGTTTGATTTGGTTGCCGGTGGTAAAAGGGTCTGAACTCACAAACGAATAAAAGGCCGGAGAGCTAGCGAATGTGAATGCGAATTATGTGTATTTATAAGCGTTTTTATGCAAATTAATGAAGATCAAAGAAATTTTGCCGACAATGGTTTTTCGTTCCTTTTCGTTTTTCAGGCTGGCCTGTTTTGTTTTTATTCATTTGAATGCGTGTATATGCGGCGTTGAAAAGTAACGTTAACTTGAGCCATCATATAATGAAATAAAAAGCATCATTGAGCACATATTTCATTGCCATTTTGCCATCTGAAAGTGCACGAAAAGTCTGCATAATTCACACATACAACTACTTTCATCAACTACACGAAATACATCAAACGGTGCCATTTTACTTTTCCGCACATATAGTGTAAGGTGAAAAGTATTGTAATCGGTCAAAATTTTGAAAACTTCAGAAACATGTTTTCTGGACGTTTCTGAGGTCAGCGAACCCGAATCAGGCCGTTTTGAGCATGGTTTATGTTAATCTGTACGTCGTACGTCGTACGTCGTACGTCGTACGTCGTACGTTGTACGTCGTACGCAAAATTTGTTAGCAAGATTGCGCTCATCGTAGAAACTTAATTCAAAATCTGACTTTACAGGATGATTGGGGGTCCCGAGGAATAGAAATCATTAGCTTTTGAGCGACTTTGGTTGATGGGAAAAAATGTCATGCCTGGAGTGATACCTATGAAAAAGAGTCCAATTTTCGTCCAAAAGTCATACTTAATGTGGACTTAAACATTCAAAAATATGTATTGGGGGGTTTTTTGGCACGAGAAAACCGAATCTGAGGTTATTTTTGAGATACGATCAATTTTTAAAACAGTTTCCTTGAAAAAATCACAAAAAAAATGAATTTTTGTATGGGAGCCATGCCTGTATGCTACCTTAATGACGTGAAACTTTGCACAGTCTATTTTTTACACAAAAAAATAACATTCTGAAAGTTTGAAGAGATTTTAATCAAAATTTTAATCAAAATTAGGGGTACCTCCCATACAAAATTTTCAATTTTTGGCTCAAAAACGAATATTTTGCATGGGAGGTACTCTTAATTTTGGTTAAAATTTCTCCAAACCTTCCGAATGTTATTTTTTTGTGAGTTATGAAAAGTGTTTCAAAAATAATTTCTATGGCAAAATTAACGTCAGACATATTTTTTAATACAGTTTCCTTGTAAAAGTCACAAAAAAATTGAATTTTTGTATGGGAGCAATGCCTGTATGATACTTTAATGACGTGAAACTTTGCACAGACTATTTTTTACACAAAATAATAACATTCTGAAAGTTTGAAGAGATTTCGATCAAAGTTAGGGGTACCTTCCATACAACATTTTAAATTTTTGGCTCAAAAACGAATATTTTGTATGGGAGGTACCCTTAATTTTGGTTGAAATTTCTCCAAACCCTACGAATGTTATTTTTTTGTGAAAAAATAACCTGTTCAAAGTTTCACACCATTTATATAGCATACAGACATGGCTCCCATACAAAGATCCAAATTTTTTGTGACTTTAGTTATGGAAAGTGTTTCAAAAATAATTTTTATGGCAAAATTAACGTCAGACATATTTTTTATAGTATTTTGTTAGAAAATAGAATACTTTCAAATGTCGTACAAATGGGTTCATCATGAAAGTGTGAAAAATCTTTTCTCGGGTACTTCTGCTTAATAAATTAAAGAATATTTCGTTGCCAAAGTTGAAAAATATTTTTTGGTCTCGAACTTTACGCCGCTTGAAAGACTTGAAGAATCGAGCAAATATTATTTTGAACTTTCTTAATAAAATACGCAACTACCACAGTGCGGAAAAGTTCGTCTTACTCCCGTAAGACTTTTTATTTTGATCTCAAACAGACAT